TTACATTCCCACCAACAGTGTAGGAAGGGGTTCCCCTTTCTCCACACCCTCTTCAGCATTTATCGTTTGTGGACTTTTTAATGATGGCCACTCTCACTGGTATAAGGTGATACCTCATTGTAGTTTTGATCTGCATTTCTCTGATAATTAGCAATACTGAGCATCTTTTCATGTGTCTATTGGCCGTCTGTATGTCTTCACTGGAGAAATGTCTGTTTAGGTTTTCTGCCCATTACTTTGATTGGATTTTTTGTTAAGCTGTATGTATATTCTGAAAGCTTAATTACTGTTCTTCATCCCAGTGTTCTCACCTACTATCCAGTTCCCTTAAAACACTGCCTCGTTTGTCTCATGATAATCTCTTCTGGGGGACTATCAGGGTCAGGGAGAATGCAGAAACAGCAGGGCTAGGAGCATCCCTGAGACTTGGGGAACTGGAGCTGACGGAGGAATGGCAGGATGAAGAATTCCCCAGGTGAGGAAGTGTGAGGGAGGTTGGGAAAAGGGAGGGTTGGTCACAAATGGAGGGCAGGGAAGGTAAACTAAGACTTGAAGGAATGAGCTGGGGAAAAGAAAGAAGAGGTGATAAAATCATGGCGGAGAGAGAATCGATACCTGTCTTGATGCCTTTAGCCTCTGTTTCTGCTCCCTTTTAATCTTTTCCCCTCTAGATTGCTTCCCGAAGAGGCTGACCCTTCTGAAGATCCTGTTGATCCTGAAGGAGATTCACAGGCAGGTAGGTAAATCAGAACCCAGGCTTCAAGTTCTTGATTCTAGTCCAGGGAAAGGTTATGCCATCCTGTCCCTTTGTGGTTCAACTTTTGTTTTTCCAAACGTCCCTTGTGTTGGTCATTCTTTGGAATTCAACCCATATCGTCACTTACATATACAGGAATTCTAACCTCCCCCACCAACACTCATACATGTTTCTCTTCTTTTTTTCCCCCTCCTTCAACCCCAGGTACCCCCAGCACTTTAGCCCTAAGTGGCCATCGCCCCATGCGTAAGCGTCTTTCTGCCCCAGAGTTGCGACTGGATCTGACCAAGGGGCCTGGAGATGATGGGGCGTCTCCCACCCACTCTGATCCTTCCTCCTCCGAGGGCAGTTCTGACCTGGAGATGGACGAGTTGGAGACACCTTCAGACTCGGAGCAGCTGGACAGTGGACATGAATTTGAATGGGAAGGTGGGAAAGAAAGCTGAGGACTGAGCTGGCTGAAGTAGAGCCCAGGATTAAAGACACTCAGAATGGATTTAATGGGACTGAAGTTAGAACCAATAAGGTGGGGACCACGAGGCAAGGCCAGCAAAGTCTCCTCAGGATGGAAAGGTAGAGCCCATGGGTCCAGTGTGAGGGTAGTCAGCAGGTGGGGGGTGTGCTTCGTTTATTAAGGAAAACTTTTTTGAATAATGGTTATGTGCCATCACTGAGCTAGAACCGGGTTATAAAGATGAAGAAGACAGTCCCTATCCTCAGGGAATTCTCTGTTTAGTATGAAATAAACATGTATAAAAACGAGTGCAGTTACAGGTTGGGATCTACACGTGCACAGGGTACTGTGTAAGCAGGGAGAAGGCAAAGGTCCGCTCTGCCTGAGAGGTGCTGGGGAAAACTCCACAGAGGAGGCGATGCTGAGCTTGTCGGGGGTTGGAGACGCGTTCCAGGTGGAAGCAGCAGCTTGGGCGAGAGCATGGCATGCTGGGAAATGCAAAGTGGGAAGCATGACTTTAAGTATTAAGGGAAATTTTGTTTCTTCTCTACTCACAACACTTAAGACACCTAACGTATGGGTTTTCCCTACAACAATCAATTCTCCAACTCTCCAGGCACAAACTGGGTGTCCTACAGTTCAGCTGTGACACTTACCTGGAGCTAGCACAGACACCTCAGGCTAAGGGCTCACCCATGAGACCGCCCCCCAGACTTTAGACACCTGTCACATGTCCAGGTTCTCACCTGTGCTTCTAACCAACAGGCTATAAATCAGAGGTTCCCACTGCTCCCTCCGCAGGTTTCATATTTATCAGAACATTTCACAGAACTTGGGAAAACAGCTTACTTACTAGATTACTGGTTTATTTTCTGAGGATACAGCTCAGAAACAGCCAGAAGGAAGCGATATGTAGGACAAAGTGTGCACGGAATGGGGTGAGGAGCTCTGTGCCCTCCCCAGGGGTGCACGCCCCCCAGCACCTCTATGTGTTCACCAACTCGGAACCCCTTCAGTTAGGGCTTTCTATGGAGGCTTCATATGTAGGTGTGATTGAATCATCGACCACTGGTGATTTAGCACAACCTCCAGTCCCTCTCTCCTCCTCAGAGGTCAGAGGGTGAAAGTTCCAACCCTCTGATCATGTGGTTGTTTCCCCTGGCAAGCAGCCACCCATCCGTGGGAGCCTTCCAGAGTCACCTCATTAACATAAACTTGTGTGGTGGAGAGGGGCTTGTTATGAACAGGGAAAGATACCACCTTGACCTTTATCATCAGGAGATGTCTCAGGAACTAGGGACAAAACCAAGCTATATTTTATTCTGTCACAGATAGGAAGGCCTGGGAGGTGAAGAGAGACAAAAAAGACAGTGCTGTGTTAAGTAGGCAAGGGGCAAGTCATGAAGGTCCTTGCTGCCGCACTAAGAAATTGAGGTTTTGTCCTGTAGGCAGTAGGGAGTCTCTTGAATGGTTTTAACCAAGGGAGTAACACGGTCAGATTTAACAGCTTTTAAAAGATTAAAAACAGCCTAAAGTTCCATCAGTAGGATATTCTGTTGTGACACATCCGTCCATACAGTGGAATACTAAAGACTAGGCATTTATTTTTTGTGGTGAAGCAGCTCTTTCTATTGCTGTGGAAAGATCATGCAGAATTAGCGGGTATAGTATATTATCCTTTGAGTGAAAAAGGTAGAGGAGAAAGGAAAGCTTGCTCTAGCAGTGATGCAAAGGGTGGCACGGAGGAGAACAGACAAGAGGCAGGGAGACGAGTTAGGAGGCTAGGACTAAGGCCAGGTGACAAAGGCTGAGAACCTGTACCAGGACAGCAGTAGCGGAAAGAATGATATGAAGGATGTAATGGAGGTAGATGGAGGAGGACGTGGGTCCATCTGGCTCAAGGGCTGATAGAGAAGAAAGCGTCTCAGGAGATACACAGTTTTCTCTCTCAGGCAGCTAGATGGATGGGCTCATCAAGAAAGGAAATATGGGCGAGAGGAGGAAGAGGATGAATTTGAGTTGCACTTGGAGTCTGGTGACTTGGAGATGATAGAGAAACACGAAATAGAGACGTCCACTCTAGCCATTTAGGGATGTGGGTCTGGTGGTAGGAGAGAGGTCTGGGTTTGAGAGGAATCATCACCTTATGAGCAGTACTTGAAGACAGGGGAATAGATGAGCTCACCCAAGGAAGGAAAAGCATGAGAAGAAAGAAAGAAAAAATCAAGAGTAATGACAAGGGCTATCAACCTGCCATAGTGCAGTGGCCTCAAGGCCATTATATGTTCTGTCTTGTTGATCCTCCCCCATCCCTCTTTTTCAGATGAGCTGCCCCGGGCAGAGGGTCTAGGGGCCAGCGAGGCAGCTGAGAGGCTGGGCCGGGGTTGCATGTGGGATGTGGCTGGAGAAGATGGTCATCACTGGAGGGTGTTCCGAACAGGACAGCAGGAGCAGCGAGTGGACATGACTGCCATTGAGCCCTATAAGAAAGTGCTATCTCATGGAGGTACTGGCTGGCCTAAGTGGAGGGGTGAGAACTCTGACTTCTTGAATGAAATGCTAAGCTGGAAACTCAGTTATTGGGTTCAGAATGACTTCCTGCAACTTTCAGAGACCCTCAGAGTCTTTCACCCTAAACAGATGTACTGTCCGTCAATACTTACTTGTTGACTGAATGAGTTCTCCCCTTCACATCCCCAGGCTACCATGGTGATGGCCTCAATGCGGTCATCGTCTTCGCTTCCTGTTATCTGCCCAGAAGCAGCATCCCCAACTACACCTACGTCATGGAACACTTGTTTAGGTGAGGTGGGAGGCCTGAAGGGCTCCAGGGTGGATGTCGAGGGAGGGAAAAGTTGAAAAGAACCCTTCCTATGATCAGTAACTGATTATAGAGTCTACAGTAATGTCCCCCTCAATCCTCACGATTCCAAACACATACCTTCCTTGACACTTTCATCTCCTCAGGTATATGGTGGGGACTCTGGAGCTGCTGGTAGCTGAAAATTATCTGCTGGTTCACCTGAGTGGAGGCACAAGTAGGGCCCAGGTTCCATCTCTGAGCTGGATACGCCAGTGTTACCATACTCTGGACCGGCGGTGAGCCTCTAGGGCAAAAGAGCTGCAGCTCTCTGTCTTATCCTTTTCTTTTCTAGCTTTCCATGCTTTCTTCTTCCTTCAGTCTCTTCCGCTTTTCTCTGTCCCTCTGCATCCCTCTTCAAACCTTTCCTGTCTTCTGTCCTTACTTGGAGTCACGGAAATCTAGTTTCAGATCTTGCCTTTGTCATCTACAAGCTGTATGACAAGTCACTTAACCTTTCTGGGACTCAGTTTCCTTCTGTGTAAAATGGCGATGAGAATACCTTTTGCCACTGGGTATTTGTGAAAATCAAGTAAATCAACGTGGCACATTGCCTGGCATGTGGAAAACCCCCTTCCTTTTCTCACAGTCTTGCCATTTATTTCACTTTCCACATCTCCATTGCTTTCTTTTCTTCTTTTCTTGTCTGCCTTCATCCCTGACCCATGTGTTTTTTTTCCCCTGATGTTCCTTTTTTTTTTCTTTCTTCCCTCCATCTGCCATTGCCATTTGCACACTTCTCTCGTTCCTTTTCTTTTTTTCCTTCTCACTGGTCTTCTTTACCTGGAGTTTTATAAATCTTCCTGGTCATGGGGTGATGGAGGAGTGTACAGAAGGAGCTGTGCAAAGGTAGGGCACAGAAGGAAGTGGGTAGAGGAGACCAGGCTAAGGGATTCTGAGAGAATTTCCTAAAAATGAGGAGGCTAAACAAGATCAATGGAGCTGAGACTGCAGTTAAAGGAAGGGAGATGAGACCCAGCTGCAAGAGGAAGTCTGGAGGTTGGAGAAGTGAGAGAAGAACAGAAGACAGCTCCACCTGATCTTCAGGTGTGAAGGTGGAAGGAGAGTGGGACGGTCTCATATTCTTCCGCAGGCTCCGGAAGAACCTGCGCGCCCTGCTGGTTGTCCATGCTACGTGGTATGTGAAGGCATTCCTGGCGCTGCTTCGGCCCTTCATCAGGTACTAGCTTTGGGGACAAAGACCCCCTTCCCCGTCTCCCTGTTTTCACAATCAAGATTAAGAAGTTCCTTAAAATAAAATTTTTATTTAATTCAAAGATTTTTTAATTAAAAAAAGATTAAGATGTTCTTGCCCCACCCTGACTCTTTCTAGCCTTAGCCACTCTCCACCTATTATGTTTCCCTCTGTAAGGGTCTCCAGGAGCCCTCCTCCCGGTATAAAACACACTTGGTTGATCCTCTCTTTTCAGTTCCAAGTTTACACGAAAGATTCGTTTTCTGAACAGCCTGGGAGAGCTGACCCAACTCATCTCCATGGATCAGATCCACATTCCGGAAGCTGTCAGACAGTGAGTCCTGAGCTTAAGGATAAAAGTTTGGGATGGGATGTGTAAAGCCACTTCCCACTTTCTTAATGTCTTGGGAGAGATACAAAGGAACTAAAAGACCGAGGCCCTGCTTTCAGATACTTCAGTGTATCCGAGAAAACTCCACACACCCGGAGAGGAAATTAAAGACGCTACTGTATCCAGCAAGAACAAATGAAAAAATTATTCACATAAGTGATCAACGAATAAAAGAGTAATCACAGCACAGAATTTAGAGGAGATTCAGACTAGCCCTAGAAATTAAGGAAGGATACGTTGGCAGCAAATAGGAGAGAATATCCAATGAGGGGAGGGTGCTAGGGAGCAAAGGGTCCTATATGATGACCGACCCAACCCAAGCATCCAATCTTCTAGTTGTTCCAATTCACCTGGCCTCTCTCCCTAAACACCTGAGCAAGACCCAGGTCCTGCTCCTGAACCACTTTCTTTTCCTCTCTTTCTCCTAGGCTGGACCAGGATCTCTATGGCTCAGGCGGGATCTAGCAGAGGACTGGAGTAAAAGGACCTCATAACCAAGCAAAGATAATTGATCTGCCTACACCCTAACCCCTGAAACATCTGAGCTGTCTTGTAAACGTCTTATCCTCAACCCCAGTATCGTTGGATCTTCACACCTCAACGAGACGTCATTCATTCCGTGACCTTGCCTTCAGAGCAGGCTCTGAGGTCCAGAACCTGATCTGGTGGGTGACTTCCCTTTCAGTTGGAGGGGTGCCTGTGGTGCCATTTTGTATAGGAAAGTGCAAAGCGGTGCTGCTTTAGCTGTAGAACCTTGGGCAAATTCATCTCCCTGAGTCTGAGATCCTTCGGTTCCCCCTGGGGTCTTCTAGCAGTCTGTGAAGGTGAGGGATGAATGGGGAGGGCGGGGCTTGACCACAGCCAGCCTGCCTACTGGGAGTCCACAGTCAGTGCCCCAAATGCTAAAGAAACAGTCAACAACGAGGTTACCCTCTCTCCTTTAGTAGTCACGTCTGTTGCCTGTGAGCCTGGGGAAAGGTTGTTCTCAAACCTGTACTTTTGTCCTCTTTAATAAATTCAGATCTGTAGCGGTTAATAAACTGTGATGAGAGGTTTAAGCTCTGCTCCGAGGAAGTGAACTCCTCTTCCCCAGCCCCTTACATCACAATCTGTCCGTTCTGGCACAGGGTTCACGCTACAGGTTCCCTGGGATTTTTAGCTGAGTGCCTGGGCCTGCGGGGAGA